TTTGACACTATACAGATTTAACAGTGTTCCAACAGAAAAAACAATTTTGCAACTGTTAGATTTTTTAATACAATTGGTTTATTTAGATTCAATAAAAAAAACTAAGAGCAAGAGCAATCATATTAAAGAATTTGATAACAATTACAAAATTACTTTTTCTGCTGCATACAGTCAATGTTTGCTTCCATCTCCGTAAATAAACTCTTCGTACTTTCCATGGCGATGCGAAACCATCATTCAGCCAAACGTCGCAGACACGTGAAGGCGCACGTGGAATTAATACTCGGAAATGATGAATTAATGTTTAAGCGAGTCGCTGCTTGTATTATACAAGCTTTTTCGCTAAAGTTCGTCGCAAGTCTAGCTGAAACTTTTACGAGGCACGCGCGCAAAATTGCAGAAGGGTTGCGAGGTCCTTCTAAGAATATAATAAGAAGAATAAAAAAAAGAAGCGGACAGGGAGAGAGATAGCAAAAGAAAAAAATAATCGGCCGAGGGAAGACAAGGGTCGACAACGACATGCACCTGTGTGCGAACCCGCACATGTCCGATGCAACTGCACTACCCCTATCTTCCCTCGCACGAAGCTCCATTCATAATTCAGCGAGGCGAATTAGACGAGCGAGGGACGCGAGTTCTCTCGCATGTCTCTGTTACGAAGGTAATAGCGAGAGAACAAATTAAGCAACACCGAGCGACATACTCCGTTTCGACAGAATGGACTGAGCAAGAGACATGTTAGCCCTCCCCTCCCTCCCCCCGAGAGAACACTTTCACTTTCTGCGTCATTTCATATGTCACCCAACTATTCCTCCACTTTTTTTACTGCTCACGGACGGTCGCAACTCGCCAGGCTCTCGCTGTAATTGGTGTACTATAACTGCATAAATAACGAACTCACGATGGTAGAAGCATCTGCATAAATAACCGACGACAAGTTGTCGATGCATGCGTTGCAGAACGATTGAGGACTGAAGAATGAAATGATAATGAATTTTGTTCCGAGCAAAATATTTTATCGAACGTTATGCCGTTATGGTGCGTGTCTTTCACATCGAATCAATGCGACTTACTTGATTGGTAACTCTTATGGTACATTGTAGTAAACTTAGAAATTTCTTTTAAATATAAAAATGCGAGTCTCACAAATCAGTCTTTTTCTTTCAAACATAAGACAATCATGCAATATTGATCGATTATTTTATGGAGTTCGTATTCTTAACAGAAAGTCAAGAAGTGATATTTGGAATTTAAAAGAAAATATTGCAATTAGAAAAACGAAACGCCAAAAAAAAAGAAAGTATATATAGTTCTATGATTATGCTTTTTTCAAAATCTTTTTGTTTAATTTCGTTTTAGTGCTGATTTTATATAACTTCACTTATCAATATATCATTCTTTATCAATGAATACTGCAAAGTCAAACGTCACGCCGCAAAAGTTCTTACAAAAAGACTATATAATACACAGAAAGATTTTGCTAAAATATCTAAAAATTTAGTTGTGATATATATACATATATATATATATATATATATACAAGCGTATATATATATAGATACAGATTTGAAAATAATTTTCTTGGACCGTTAAAATAATTATGTAGAATGTTAAAACATAAATTAAAAACAATTCTTTAACGCTCATATAACTTTCAAACAAAAAATTAATAAATAGTAACCCAAGGTCAACAATTAAAACGAATTATAATTAGATATGACAATGTAAAAATTTTTTTTTTTTTCACAATATAATTTTTCAACGATACGTTTCGACTATATTTAGTCCTCATCAATCACAGAAATATAATTACCCCATATAACAAAAATTAGATTAACATATTTAAAAAGAGGATCTTAATTTCGATTTTTAATAGTCAGTATAAACGCAACCATATTATATTTAGTCAATTTGTCGGACAATAAAACATAGTAATGAGTCATAATCCAACCAATTCATCGGTTAACAGCAAGAAAGAGTAGTCAGGTGATTAAAAAAAAAGTAAAATTAGATGTGTAGATTGATGTCAAATTTATGAAATGGTTGTATATGTGCGTCCTTAATATTATTGGTAGAATTAAATAGAATAATACATAATATAGTTAAATTAAAGATATAAAATCGTTGCAGATTGAAACTTAAACAAGTCTTAACAATTAAAATTATATAAATAAAAACAATTATATAGAATGCTTAATGATGAGGAATGCTGCAACAAATTTTAACATTTTAGCAACCAGTTTGAGCGTCTTATATAATTATTTTATAATGCCCAATAAAATTATTATCAGTCCAATAACTATAATTGTTAAACAACAAGAATTTTTAAACAACAAACCATTCTTTCTATTCTATTCTTCAAATAAATAAAATACTATTTCGCAAGATAATTACACTAAAGATTTTTATTATCGATGTTTAAATGCTATTTATGTCGAATCATTATAATCATAATAATTTTGTACATGTTTAATACGAACAGTTATCTAATTAACAGTTGACTAACACACACACATATAAAAAGAATAAAAAAACGATGTTTTGCGGGCAAAAGAGTAATAAAAGTAATTCTAATTTGAGACTGCTTGAGCAGATTCCATAAAATTCAAATCTTATGGACATGCGAAACACACACACACACACACACACACACACACACACACACACACACACACACCTCACGGTTCGGTTTTTTCCTTTTCCAAATAATTTGCGCAATAGCACTAGGATGTCGCGTAAATTTCACGCCAAGGTGATGATCGGTATGGCGAAGTAGCACGATTTCTAACGAAGGCTCTAACAAAAAGTAACGCTTTAACGACGAATTCTCGATGAGTATAACTGTACTCCCGATAGAATAATTCAACAATGCAACGAACTTTTTTACCGCGTCGCTGTAGTTTCTCTCACTGTATTTCTTCTCGAGCAGAGCTTCAAAGAATTCCACGGTCACATTTACATTAACGCAACAGAATATCCTCACTGTCTCTATTTTTTTTAAATAATATATCTTTTCAGAGATTTACGTCTTTGCACCTCTGTGTCTTCGCACGGCCTTTGAATAATTTAAGAGCGGCCAAATTTTTTTATTTCAACGTTTTGTTTCAATGAGAGATGAGAGACATATAACTCAAAACAGTTTAGGAAACGTGAAAGAAGATAATACGATAACGAATATCTGTTTTATGGTGGCAGATTCGACATAAGAATGAAATATTAGATGCAGTCTCTGTGTGTGAAAAATTCTTTTATTTCATGTTTTTTTCAACATCGCATTCATGACGCAACGATTAATGTAATTTTTTTTTCGACACGTTCCGAGTCTCTTTGAAAATCTCGGAGTAACGTGAAAGTGCAAAGGAAGGCTTTCGAGTCGACCGCATGGACTGCTCCGAACTTTGATACATTAATAAATAGCTTCTCTGCCTATCAGTGGACTTCTTTTACTCTTCCTTGAGCACGTTTAACATGCACGGATTGCCTTCCCTGTCCTTCCCGTTTCTTTGCCTTTTCTCCTCTGCGGGCCTAATGTCAATAACCGTTGCATTAGTTGACGCTTCGTTACTTTCTTTGCGGCGGGCGAGCGAGCAGGCGATTAAAAATGGTCGGGGTGTCATTCGCGATGGTACACGGTCGCCGCGACGCCGACGTCGAATCGCGTCGGTGTTGGTGACCAGCGTCCGTCGCACCTGTTTCACGTGGCGTCGTCGTAGCATCACGCTCGGTGATTTGCTCGCCGGAGCAAAAGATGTTCCCAGTGGCTGCACCGTCGCCTGCATCCTCTTTGTACACTTTGTTCACACCGTGAAGGCAAGTCGTAAGGCATCACCCAGTCCCGTACAGACGGAGAGACCCGGTAAATCCACGTACATCCACGTACAGCGTCGTCGCTCTCTCTTTCTACACGTTAGAGCGTCGCCGAAGCGGAGACTGACGTACACATGGATGAAAAAAGATATATACGAAAACCGTTACGAAAACCGTATTATCTCTCGGTTCTATATATTCTTTGATCAGTCTGAGATCGATTTTCCTGTCCTCTTTGAAAGTCAAGAAATTGAATGAGAAGAAAGATTTTTTTTTTAAATTCCGTTTTAAATCCGTTAAAAGATCCGTTCGTCATCGAGAATGTGGGATAGTTCGGAGAACATCAGATGGCGTCTTTTCCACAGCTTCTTTTTACGATGCACTGTTTTATCTCTTGCCGCGAGACAACTCGGAAAGAAGTGAATGGTGCAAGGATGAGAGAAACGCGGCAGTTGCAACATCCGCGGTCGGGCCCCACGTGCAGCTGATGATGCAACGCTCGTGCATTTTGTAACTCCATGGGCCAGAAGGCCTTCTTACCCGGCATATTGGATTAGATAAAGTCGAGAGCATTGAGTAATCGCTCAATTAAATGGCTCGTCAGCCAAATATCGCGCATATCTTAAGTTATAAAATTTAATTTTCCGAAATGTTCATAAGGAAATTTATCATTCGCATTATTGTATATTTTGATGATGAGTTAAAATACACATGATATGAACGTGAAATTCAATAAACTTGCAAGATTTTATTCAGTTCGAGCCCGTTCACTTGCCATATCATCCTTGAGTTCACTGTCAATAGACTTAGCTGCGTTGTTATCTCTTACTTGCGAGGGTTTAACGATCTAATATTATCGTCAACATGATTAATATATGTGCGTGTGCGTATGTTTCACGATAATCCATTACTCTCTAAAATTTTTAGAGTGAATCCCATTCTGAAAATTGAGCTCTCTCTTTTTTAAGAGTTGCTCAATTTTCATTCTTTAGTGAGATTCCATTTCAAAGAATTTAGAGAATAGATCATCGCACGTGTTGGATGAAATATTTTTGTGCAATTAAGCTGTGTAAAAATCTCATTTCTTCAACGCGTCAATCAAATCGAATCTCCACCGAATTAAAGACTCAATTGCACCGTACGCGTAAGTGCAGACGATATCTTGTGACTTAAAAACAATGAATGGTACTCACCGCCGTCGACAGTAGAGACAGTGCTGGCCTTGTTGATCTTCGTGTTCCACATAGCGAGCGCGGGAGGCGCAGCGGGACTTTGATCGGGAGTCGGCGGATGAACCGCCGGCATCGGAACCATCGTCGGACCCAGCTGTGCTCCAGCCAGATGGTCCGAGTTCGATCTGTACAAGCCCGCGTCAAACCCCCGTCCGGGATAAGCCTCGTCATCCCGCTTGGACAATCTCTCCGCCAATTTCTCCGCCCTCTCTCGATCGGTCTCCTGTTTTATTCGAAGGTCTGGCTCCTGTTTTATTCGAAGGTCTGCGAACACAAGATCAAGAGCTTAGTTGCAGGATAGGTCGATTTTACATCGATTTTATTATAGTAGGTTTATCTCACCTTCGGCAACGCTTTCCTTGAGATCACAATTGCTGCGTTCCTCGGACCGCGCTCGTTCCAGCTGCTGTTCCAGTTCCGTAGGCGTATGTGGCGCGGTGTGGGAATGCGAATGAGTTTCAGGGGGATGGGTGAACGATTGATAGAAGTGATTTTTCAACAATGGATGCGGGGCGGATGCCGGCCGGAAGGCAGGGCCGTCGCGCAACACACTCGCTCTTCCTAACGTATCGACATCGCTCGGCGATCTAAAAATACGTGGTCGCAGCTCGTATAATCTTACGCGAGTGAATTGGCAAGGATACGTAATACGGTGCGAATATTTGGTAAACACGCATAATACGAAAAGAGGAAGCACGGGGAAAATCAAATCCGGAAATTGACGTAACGCCAAGTGAGGCAAATGAAGGAATATCCAAAACGTTCTTTATATTATACGATAAAGTTCCTTGGAAGATTTTATGGTCTCGATTAGCGCAATATCCGCGCAACATAATTGACGAAAATCTACTTTGATCGTAAAAATAATATTTCAACAAGTTGAGATAGAAATTCGAAGAAACCGTAAAAGAGTCGCTTTGCCATAACGATTCATTTCCTTATCAAAAATATGATAATTTAGATATTGCTTTGTCGTTCGCGGATTGTCACATACGTCATCGTCATTAGAACGAAGGAAGGCCGCTCGTGGTCAGTTCCTCGTAAAAGAGCTTCGCATCTCGGCGAAAGGTTCTTACCTCATCACCCTCTTCGGCGGGCTCTCGCAATAAGGAGAGGTGGAGTACATATTGGGCACGATGTACTCCGGGGCGGGCGACGGCGCTGGTGTGGGGGTCCTCTTCATAATATTCCTGACCGCCTCGCTCATGTCGCTCACATCACCGACGCCACTACCACCGCCCCCGTTGCCGATGGTACCACCGATGCTACCACTGCCGACGCTACCACTACCGACGCTACCCCCGACGCTACCACTACCACCGCCTCCGCTACCCCCGCCTCCACGAAGAGCAGTAACATCGCCAGTGCTCTCTGCGTCCGCGGAGGTGTTGCTTTCTGCAGCGTGCCTTTGCGCCACCGCCAGCTTTTCGTGCTCAATGATCGATAAACCTTTAACCTGGAAAAGAAAAGAATTATGGATGAATGAATACATTTCAGAAAAATATCACACGGAGGGAATAATATAAGAAATATTGTATAACGATACACAAAAATATTGTGCTATAAGAATTATGATGATAATAAAATATGTATAATTTTTAATGGGATTCTAAAAATATTTATTGCATTTAGAAAGTTCGCGTAAATATTGGATTATGTTAATGAACATTCACGTCACTGATGTCAACATGCGATAAAAAAGCATTTTGTGTAAAAAAATATTTGTGAAAACAATCTACTCACATTCCTGTTAATAATTTGTGTTGAATTTTTTAACATATTCGAGTACTAATTTATCATAATATGATTATATTATTTAAATATTCTATGTTAAATTGATATTCTTAGTGTCAAAAGGACACAATTTATAAGTAAGTAAACATGTAATACAAAAATATGTTTTAAAATGTATAAATTCTAAAATATGTGTGTTAATTTAACATATCATAAATATTAATTATATCTACTAAAAAAAATATATATATTTCCACAGTTTGTAAACAAACTGTGAAAATATATACATTTTTTTTTTACAAACTATGTCAATCATCTTTTTTCTGATCATTTTTTTTCACACAATATCTTTGTTGTTTCCTAACATGTCGATCTTATGTTAAATGAACACAAAAATTTAAGTGGGACATGTGAAATGTGTTATATTCGTCACAAATTTTCCAACAGTCAATTAAATAAATATATCAATTAAATAAAATCACACATTTTTGCATTAAATACTTGAAAATATCGAATGAAGACATACGATACAAAGTTCAGTCAACAATGCATTTCCGAGGTGAATTTGACAAATGATTTGACTCTTCTACAATATAAATGATACATAGACTTTAACCAGTGCGTGTTTTGAACCCGCGCCACGTGTACAATTATTCGGGGGATGTTATTTAGGGTCATTATTTACGGAAAAAGAGACAGGCACGTACTTGAAGGCATTCAGCTGCCTTGAGGAAGGAGCTGAGGGATTCCTGGGACACATGTACCTCTCCACGGTACATGAATTCGAGGAGAGACGCCATATTGTGGGCACTCGTCCCATCGAGAATAACGATCAATCCCGCTGGAGTCGGCGGCATTCCTTCGAAAAGCTCCTGAAAATGCTTGCTGCATGCTGCGAGGATTAACCTGTGTGCCTTGAACGTAACTCCTGAAACATAAATAAGATGTATTGATTTCAAAATATGAATGATGTAAGAAAGTACATACTGTCATCGAACATACTATTATCAAAAGAAAATATTTCGACCATCGCTAATCCATTGAGTAAATGAAAAAATATATATACAGGGTAATTTTAACATATTTCGTCACTCATCATGAACTGGTAGAGTGAATCGAACTGAATTGAAAAGTCCTCTATCATTTTGCAATTTCCAATAGTTAATAAGATATTAATCACTAAAAATTGCCAAATATTGATCTTGAATAATTTTTTACTCAAATACTATCAACTTTATAGAAAAGCTGCAAGAGACAAAAATCATTTATTTTCTTCTCATAAAGTTCTGAGAATTTTTTCAGAATTTTTAAAATATTTTCTCATGTTGGTAAAAATAAGAAAATGCAGTACTAAAAAGTTGATAAAAAATTCTGAAAAAATTTTTAGAATTCTATGAGAAGAAAATAAATGATTTTTGTCTCTTGCAATTTTTCTCTAAAGTTGACAATATCTAAGTAAAAAATTATTCAAGATCAATATTTGGCAATTTTTAGTAATTAATATCTCGTTACTTTGCGTAAACTGCAAAATGATAGATGACTTTTCGATTCAGTTCGATTCACTCTACTGCTTATGATGGTGACGAAATGTATTAAGTCATGTATACAAAAATAATAGAATATTGAAGAACCAACCGTAGAACTTATTGCGTTAAACAATTCTTCAATTTATATATTCTATTGATAATCACATTGAGTTGATATTTAAACCTAATCTCAAATTAAGGAAACCTAAATTCGAACTCTTCTCAAGATATCTTATTATAATTTTGATTTATATAATTTAGAACCCTTTATTATTGTTATTATATTATTGTTAACTAAATTAATTCTCTGCTGCATAAGATCACTAAAAGCACTGCGGATTACATTTTAATTGTATATTTTGAAAATTTAAATCTGTAAAAAAATAAATAAACTAAAATCTACTATAAAATCCGATATTTCTATGATAATAAGAACTTCTTAAAGCTTTGACAAGTATATTAGAATTTTTATTAGAATTTATATCAATTTTTATACAATCCGGAAAAATATAAAAATTTGTTTTTTTTTTCGAAGATCACTATTGCTGACGGAAGAATTAAGATTCCTTGTTATTAGCGGAAAGTTAATGGATATCGCAGAAAAAAAAATTAAATATTAACCTCGCGCTTCTATAATCATGCGAATCATCAAACTCGATCGGCGAAATTAGCAAAATTTTTGATGCACGCACAAGATGCTCGCGGGCATTTTCTTTCTCACGGCTTACAATGTAAGCGGGCACCATCGCGCGCAGCAGACGAGCGCGGGAATTTCAGCATGCAAAGAAAGCCGGTGACCGACGAACCCTTTTTTTTTTCAAGCGGCCCACCATTTCCCTCTCTAGAACGCGACATAAAGGAACCGAGGCTAGCACGCCTGACGTCGATGCCCTTTCTTGCAGCCCGCTGCGTATGTAGGTCATCTTCGGACACGATCTTCCGTAATTCGTAATTCACGCAAGTATAATGCGCGTTCGCCAGCGCGCGGGCGTGTAATATGACACGAGCGACCGCTGCAAGTAAAGCGAGGAACGGTTGCGTGTAAAAAGAGAAAAGAAACCGTGACCGATCGTCGAAGCCTCTGCGATGTAGTTAACATTCCGACAAATTTCTTTAAAAAAAAAAATCCTCAAACTTTTACTATCATGTTTACAAAGCTTAATTTAAAGCACTTTTTTTATTGATTTTTATTGAAAGTTCTTAAGACTTTAATTAACAAAAATTAGCTGCATACGAAAATGTATATATATTTTCGTTATTCGTACCCTGTTAAACCTATAGTGTCAAATTTAGCTTAATGTAAGACGCCACTGCTCCTACTCAATTATATCGTTATTTTATACTAAAAACAATGGTTATATTTGATACTATACAGTGTCAAATTTAATTATCGTTTTAATAAAAAATAACGAGATATTTAGTAGGAGCGACTCATTAGATTAAATTTGACACTATAGATTTAACAGTGTATAGATATCGTGTTACTTCATTATTTTGATTCCGTGCGAATTATGAACGGAACGTTTCATAAAAGAGCTTCGTGCGTTTAGACGGATGTGGGAAGAAGTCTCATCGGCAGTGCCTTCAGAATAAGGAAATTAAGTGCGAGAAGAGAATGAAGGTGACGAGGGCATGACCAGGTGGCTCAAAGCACCTGTCTTTCCAAGTGGCTCCCGGTACACAAAGTGTATCCAACTCTTTGAGCCTCCTCTCAGCGCGATATCATATTTCCTTGTACTCCCCGTTGCGCTCAATTTCAAACCTCTTATCCGACGAATATTGGATTTGCTGTATACCCGGAGGGAGAGGATTCAACGACTCTGTGATACCGCGTTCACCCGCGGTGCTTGTTGAAATACGTTTGCATCATGAACTTGTCTCGCGTATAATAATGACAGCGTCTCTTTATCTAACAAATATCAAACATATCTTCGATATCGAATTTCAATCGAGAACAATTTTCTTGCACTATCGCGTTATTTTAATCTATCGCTATATATTAATAATCACTCTGCTTTTATAATCCAATATAAGAGAGGCGTGTTATAAAGATATTCGGGGCAAATATACAGTTCATTATGCGCGATGCAAGAGCTAATGGTCGTGTAAGCGTTTTGCGATCATCTTCCTTCGCTTATGACGACTTTTGTAAACGGAGTTTGGAACATACAAATGCAGTATCTTGGAAACAAAGAGAATAAGAATGTCTAAAGAGATAGATCTCACATAATTTGTGTGATTAAAAAGAACAAATTTTATAAAATATAACAAATTTCGTAAAATATAATCATAAAATATAATAATAGACTGCGCATTCCTTGACTTTAGCAATCTTCGTTAGAAAGTATCAAATTATATCAGCATCTCTCTTTAATCTCAATAAAATTCTTCAAAATTCTCGATATTTTACACTGAAAAAAATACTATATTTTAAAAAGTATTTGTTCGAATACTCTAAGTAGATATTTATTAAATGTAAACATATTTGATACGAAAATCATTACTTTAATTTATAATTATAATTTTTTTATTGAGTAAATATTTATATATAAATAAATGTTTGCTTAATATATTCAAAGAGATGTGTATTAAAATTTAGTAAATTTTTGTTCAATGTAGAGAAAGGGAGGTGATTTAAACTACCTCACTTTTTTTTTTAGTAAATTTTTGTTCAATGTAGAGAAAGGGAGGTGATTTAAACTACCTCACTTTTTTTTAAAATGACAGTTTTAGACAATTCCATAAGAGTCTATTCTTATTTCATCTATGGAAATAATCGGCAATCGTTCGTAATACGAAGGCAGTCGGAGATGAAACACTCCTCGTATGTGAACTGCGTTCGGAGACGCATGGAACAGCCAGGCGACAGCGCGGTTCGTCGGCACACTTGTGGAAATAATGAAATATGCAGAGTTAATCGGCGTATAGTCCCGAGGCTACTAATAAATTCTATAATACGTTGCGCAGTCCGCAGCGGGTCCGCGGGATACTTCTCACATACATGCGTTATTATTCCCGTTATCGGGCCGCATGCAGAAATATACGCGCAATATGTTGCAAAGAATTTCGGCAGAGCATTGCGTAACGTGCGCGCGCGAAGCCTCGAGGACGTATTTATGACACGCCGCAACACCGTCATCGACTCATCGAGCGAGCGGAGCTATTACTGAATGAGCGAGTAGAAGAGATAACCCACGAACACTCTCAGCGCGTATCTATTTAGATATTGTTCGTAGTTATGCTTGGGAAGCGAACAGCAACGCCGTCATAGCGAAGGTTGTCAATTATGAATAAATGATAGTGACTTGACATCGCAACGTGCGAAAAGAGATAGCTGTTTAAAATATTTTTTCATTGAGAAAAAAATTACTAAATTTTAATAAATATTTGCTTGAATAACTAGATTTAACTGTAAATATACATTTATTTTGTACGAGAACGATTAATTTGATTTATCTAACATTTTTTATTTAACTAAATATTTATTTACCGTAAATGTTGAGTTTAGTCTTATTTAAATACAATAAATGTTTATTAAAATTTAGTACATTTTTTCTTAGGGTATGCGATACATAAGCCATTTCTTCAAAATAACTGTACAATTATAACTGTATAATTATTAAATTTATCCATAGTCTATTATTATAGAACTTGCTAAAAGTTGGCTATTGTTCGGCGTGCAGTTCGAAGAACTCTGGAAAATGTCTTCAATAATTCATATAAAAATATCATTAGATATCAAGATTTAGCCTTGACCGTATTTGGCGCTTCTATTTATTAGTATTAAACTGTGCGTTATTTAAAGCCATTACTATTTTGTTACCATCCGTATTATTTATGTACTGCTGGCATACGTTAGTTGAGAAATACGTTGCAAATATTATATATAGCCATTTCGATGAGATTACGTGAAGGTCTAGTAACAAGGAGCGAGATCGCCGGCGGCGCGGCGTGACTACCGTCACAAACTTGCAAATAAAACGCGCTTAGTTACGCAACAGTGCAATGCACTCTTCGCGGGCAATCTATTCATATTCCAAGGCCAGCCGGTAGTGCTCTTTGGGAGTTAGGGTTTTCGACGAAGCCTCTTACGACGGTCATCGTTCCCCTACCACGTAATAATAATTCGGAGCCTTGTGTACGTGCATCGTGACCGAATGTGTAATATACATGGGTGAAGGCGGCAATTACAGCTTAATTCAATGTCAATGTGTGACGATGTCAGCGACCGATACGTTGTCAAAGTTACCGCAATATTTATCAAAGGACAACTTCAGAAAAGTGAATTTGATACTATAGGAGGGGATTTCCTCAATCTCGGGTCAAACTTCGATAACAAATAATGAATGTCACCGAAAAAAGATCTCTAATCTTGGATGAAAAAAAAATGTAAATTCTCTCG